GCCCTCCCCGAACGTCAATGTCGTTTAACCGACCCCTATCTCCATCCTCGTGCCCATCCAGACCCCCACCATCTCAGCACCCCAGTTGAGGATGTACCCATCGAAACCCGAAGGAAGCAGCCTACATCCACATCTGGGGGGGGGTTAAGCAGCCAGTTTGCAAGCATGCCCAGGAAGTTTGCGAGCGTCACTTGAGGTCGCTGCCTAGGGACCCAAGCAAGCTTGGGGATAGGCGCTGGACACGAGCCTGGGAAGCGCTGCTTGGGGGGTGGACAAACCCTTGCCGCACACGTATCTGGGACACGCTGTTGGTTCCAGCAGGCCTCTGTGCGAGGAGCCCCGCCCTGCGGCCGTGTAGAGGAAAATGGCCCAGCCTTGCCTGCCGGCTTCTTTTCCAGGGAGGGGAAAGCCTTCTTAAAAGCACCCGTGTTTCTTAGAAGGCGCGGGCCTTGTCTGTAGATGTAACAAGGGCCGGCGCCTTCTAAGAAGCAGCCTCCTGAGAAGCCCCACACCCTCCTCCTACACCCGTGTGTGCGCCACCAATGTTTCTAAAATCCGCATGGCTCTCTACAGAAGCATCTACGAAGAAATGCGTGGGTTTACTGGAGGCAGACGATTTTCAAAAATGCCCCCCGGGGGCCGCCTCTCTGTTGTGAAGGGCAGACGAATAACATCGTGGGGGGGATGGCGAAACTGTTGTAATGGTACCCCCCGCCAGATTGTTTTGGCTGTCGCGTTGGCAGTTTTTCTCCCGTCGGTCGTCATCCCTTCGTCGTCGTCGTCGCAGCCGTATGGGCTTCCCCGCTTGGTGCGAAGCGGCCACACTTGACATTAGCATGGCAAGTGCCATTACCTGCACAGGTGACGGTAGACGGGCGGCGATGGCGGCCGCCTATGGCGGCGAGGACATGGGAGCTTCTCGTCGCAGCTTTCGCGATTCGAGCCAGTGGCGTTGCTGCGGTTCCGCGTTAATGCCGACCACCGACCTGGCGCTTCCTGCGTTACAACCCGCTGTAAGCGACACGGATATCACGAGTTGATGATATTGAGTTGGCGGCAGCAGCTAGCGACGCGATCGTCCTGACGGGTACTCAGAGACGGACCAAACTACGAGATGAACAGTGTCGCGCAGGGCCCCGATGGAGAAATAGATGCAGGCTTTCAGAAAAGTGACAACACAAAAAAAATACTGGTATCAGGATGTATTTTGGGGAAAATCTCCGGGATAATAGTGTCCGACAAGCGCGACTGCCACCAGCTTCACTTGCGGGGCGGGGTCTGGCAGTGCGTATTGCCAACAGGTTCCACGATTTCACGTTCATTGGAGTATGCGCTCCACCCCGCCCCTCGCGAGCCGCTGCAGCTACTAGCTACGATAACAAAATCCGACAGCTGTTTGGATGGATCTCATATGTACGAAATGACCCGCCTGCAAGTTGTACACCGATCATTGGCATTAACATCGATGGCGGGATGGGGAAGAAAGTGGGGGCGCAGGGGCAGCTGTCTCATATCGACACTACGGCAGTGCAGAAAAGCAGGGAGCTGGAACATTTTTTTGCAGGTGGCGAGTTCCGATTGGGTTTAGACGTATATCTGTTCTGATCCGCCAAGGCATCACATAATATGGACACGTGGTAAAGGGGGCCACGGTCATAGCAGCCTGATTGGCTACATGTGCTGTCCGACGACGATCACAGTTGACTCTTCTGGGCCCCGTTGCTGGATTGGGACGAAAATTACAACTGGTCACTATTAAGCAAAGGAAAGATCACTTACCGATGCACCTGAACGTGTCTCTTCCAGCAGGGCCCCCGCCAAACGCAACGGCCCCGCTACAATGGTGGAGGGATGATATGATGGATGCATACATTGGCAGCGACCCATACAACAAGCAGCGCTTATTTGAAACAGAGATGAGGAGCGCATGGTCCGATACACCTAGCAGCGCATGCAGCACACGGACATGGAACTCCCAGTTCGTTTCTTTGAGCAGTTGGAGACCACGTTGCGAGGGAGATGTTCAAAAAGGCCCCACTTCGAGATGAGAGATACGAAGCCCTCCGCCGCCACCGACACCATCTGTCGGCACAACGGCAGCGACTACGAGAGGAGCTCGCAGGTGCTGACGAACATGAGGCGGGGGCCGTAACGGCATAACCAAACGCATTATCGACGCGCTTGCAGCGAGAACGACAAGCAGAGTGGGAACAACATCGCATGGAGCTCACTGAGAAAATGCGGCGTGCATGGTGGGAGAGAACAACTGCACAAGTGCACGCCCTTACCCGACGGGCTGCTGGCACGAGATATGGAGCGATGCGCAGACCGAACCATGCCGTAAAGAATGGATGGTCTGAGCACTGAGCAATGGCTGGACACCTGGGGCCAAGCTGGGCGCGATGGAGGCATGCAGGCACGACGCGTTAAAAGTTGGTTCCAGGAGCGTGGGCAGCAGTATGATTGGAACGCACAATCCCCAGAGCTCGAAGAGGAATCCCCAAGGGTAGCCCAAGGTGACCCGCGGAGACTGGGGACCTGGGCTCGAAGGGCCCCGAAACGGATGTCTTGTCCGTCATGGTTGGCCCCGCTCGAAGTAGCAGCGACCCTCCTCGCCCCTGAGGCCCACGCCGAAAAAGAAAGATCGCTGGCATAGGCGCCGGGCCCCCTCCTCTAGAAGCCCTTCTTTTCAAAGCTGCCCTACAGGACGGGCTTGCAAAAAGTAGGCAGTCACAGAAGACCCCATCTTTTTGGCGCGTAAGTCTAGGCATTAGCTGGCCGAAGAAGGCCGACCAGCGCGACGCAGGCGATAGCTCAGAGGGCATGCGCGCCACGCGCCCACCCCCCCACATTGGGGAGAGGATGGCATTGCATAAATAGGACCACACCAGACATGCCCAGCCAGGTCTGGACTCCTCCCAGATAAATGTTAAACGCCATAGGGGGAGCCATGCTAGGAATCTGGAGATCTGAAGAAGCAGGTCGATCCGCACTCGCGCGCATGCATGGTCTTAGCAATGCATCCGGCAGCGCGCGCGCGGACTCACTCCGGGACGCCGCGGATTCGGTGGCGAGACAAGGTTGAGCACCCCAGGGCTGCCAGAGATTTCAGGGGGCAGTTGTCGCCCCCCCCCCCCCCCACGCCCAGGGGGTCTCACCTTTAAAAAAATCGGCTGTAGAGCTTTTATGGGGGGGCCCTCTGGCGGGGCAGTTTGCGCAGGCCTTTATAAACCCAGCGTGAACCTGCGGCAGCAACGCACGCGCTCCCACCGCCGCGATAATGCCGAGTGCCACGCCGACGACCCTTCCTCAGGGCGACGCGTCGACATGTCGGTTTTTCAGTATGCAGATGACGCGTTGAAGTTGCTGCTGTCACTGGAGAGCGAAAGGCTCGCAGATTCTGCGCCATGTTCATGCCTTGCAAACGAATGCATGGGCGATGCTCTCTCCACGATAGGATGCGAGGAGAATCGCGGGAAGCTGGAGATCGCCTCTTTATTTGCAGGCGTTGGCCGCGCGCGCGCAGCAGAGCGACGGCGCGCGGGCCTCGCCGCCCCCCCCCCCCCCCTTCCCCCGAGCCCGCCCCCGCTCAGCGTCGCACGTATGCCGGGTATCTGGGCGCGCAGATAGCCGCGAGCCACGGTTTTGAACCTGAGTCGAGAAAAAACGGAAGCAGGCTGCTCTGATTGCGTACAAGTCTCTAGGTGGTTGTTGGTCACTACCACACCAGCCCTGGAAGGCGCGGAGGAGCATGCTGATCTGTTGCGCGCAGAATGCCCCCCTCCACGGAGCAGAGGTTCATGTGCCGACTCAGGCGCAATATAAGGCCCCAGGCAAGGCCCCCGCATTGCATGCCCGAAAAGCAATGCAAGGGGGCGCTCATTTTCTTCGCGTTTCCGAGGGCGTTGAACAAGCACCGCAGCACGGGCGCGAAAAACATCCTTCGGTATTGACGAATTGCCCCTGCACACTTAGGAACGCACGTTTGGCGTTTACAGCGGGTCCAACAGCGCGCCGCACGCCCCTGGAAGCACTCTCAGATCCTCGCGGCGATCTTCGGGAAGTGCGACTTTGAGACGCACGACGCCGTCATCAACATTAACCTCACCCCGCGCTCAAACCCCTGGGCCAAGCAGATGAAGCCGGATATTCTTGGAGGCGCTCAGAACATGGACGACGCGGGGGGCCTCGTAGGCACGGTCCTCAGACGGGGCTCAGGGACATCGATCTGGCCAGCGATCTCGGCAATCTCGATTTCGATCGACCTCGGCAGGGCGATCATGTTGCCACGGCGCCTCCCCCAGAGTTTCGACGCGCTCCTGTTCCAGAGGCCGCTCCAGATGAGATGATGCAGTCGAACAATTTTTATATAAAAAAGATATGGGTCTGTTGATTTCAGGCTGCCGAAGGGGGCGGTTGCCCGCGCTCTTTCCGAAGTTCCAAGGCAGTAAATCAACGCAGAATGCCAGCCCATGGAGTTCGCGACCCCTGGATGCAGATAATCACCACAAACGTCTGCCCCTACTGCCTCACTGAGCGCGCGGGCAGCTCTCGGGCCCAACGCCGCGCCACGGACTCAACATGCGGGGGGGGGGGGGGGGGGGGCGGGGGGGGGGGGGGGCAGTGCATCGCGCGTGCTCGATGCGATGGGGGCCGTCGCGATCCCGACAGCAGGGCCTGCCATCTCTGCAGCTATGCCGGTTCCAGTTTCGCGGCGCTGCAAACGCGTCTAAGAGGTCACGCTCCGCCCTGCGATTACTTCGGAGATGGATCTAAAGGCCCCCAGCTGGGAGCTCAAGCGAGGCGCAGAGGCCGGCGGCAACAGCGCCCCGGGCCAGCGGCCCAAGATGCGCAAGATTGCCGATTTGGTCGGCAACAGCAATTCCAAGAGCGCGTCGAAGCTGCCGATGGCGCCGACGCGCCTCGCCCTCACCAGCGCCGCGGACATCCGCGAGATCAGCGGGATGCCCCGGCTCCCGCTGCTGCTCCCCGCCGACGCC